ATAAAACCCAATGTGTATAACAGAATCGAATTAAGGAGTGTAAAATTATGAATAATGTAAAATGCCATTGAACTCTAAGGTGTTTTTATTTCATTATTTCAAACATGGGCAGACATCATTACCATCAAATAAATCAATAATATTTATTACAAATATAGCAATCTTTTATGAAAAGTGCTGGTTCATCCACAACATCTCCACCATTCGCTGATAATGGGTATTGTTAATAGCATCGTCGGTGTTCCTGGATCTCCCTAATTTTTTTCAATTTCTCAGGAAGAACCTCCCACAACTCATCAATATTGAACCAACCCAGTTTCAGCAGGAAACGTTTACTGACAATGGTAGAATTGGCTGCAGTCTCAGACATATAGTCTGTGCTCTTTACCAAATTGATTGATGGATCCAGACTCAAAATGAAGTAGTTTTTGTACCAACGGACAAACTTTAAGCATTTCTCCGCAGCACATGTTCTTAATTATGCTGTGTAACGCAATTTTCTCGTTACTAGTGAATATTGAGATCAATCATCTAGTGGAAAGAAACGAGGTAGCGTGAAACCATGTTTCGGAACAATATCATGAGGATGACGATGGATGTCCTTTATTTTGGAAACCCACCCAGCTATCCAGGACCGACGTACAGGCGTTCCAACTAGGTAGATGGCTAGGTAGAAGGACTAGCGCCACCGTGATCCCGAAACGTTGAATGGTGGCTGTGGAGTAACGGATGACCCACAGATACCAGACTAGGAGGAGAAGGCCCTAGGAGATCTCGAGGCAGCTAGCGTTGAGTGGTTGTGTCCAGCGGATACTTTAGGAGCTCGGTATCAGTTGGTGGCAATAATGCGTTTTTGGGGTTATGGTGGATACGTGGTTACGATCTTGAATCGCAATAGCGAGAGAAGGGGACGCTTATGCTTACGCATCCCCGACTAATGAAATGAATCGCTTTGTGGCTGCGGAATGAACGTTTTCGGCCACAGAGACCCATCTCCAGGGTGAAACGCATGGTGTTGGAGTGGATTAAGAGTTGGGAAAGGAGTTGATTCCCGTAGGTCCGATCGCACGTGCCTCCATGTGAAGTAGCTCTGGTTTCGGCTCGTGATGAGATTGCTGTTACGAAGCATCCTTGAGTTGGGGTGGACATTAGGTGGGTGAGAAAGGTCTCCGAATGCCAATGTCACATGTGCATTGAGATGTTCAGCGCCCTGCGGGGTGAGAAGAGGAGAGGAGAAGACGTATGAGGGATGATACCATTCCTCCGCGAAAGATCTGGGACATACGTCCCCCGATGGTTCTCTCGGAACGACGCCGCAAACGCGGTCAAAGTCGGTAACCAGAGTTACTGAGACGTTGGTGAACCTCGCCCACTCTACCGTGTCATGCTGATGCTGGCTCGGCATTGTGATACCCGCCACCCAAAGTCCGCGGAGTACCCGAAATTTCTTCGTTGTTGGTTTGTGTCAGGTTTTCCAGAAAAACCTGGCTGGCGCCCAATCGAGAGCGATAGAGACGACAGCCAGAATAGTCCGACCCGGGTGTTGACCGGGGTGTTGACCCAGGAAAAATCCTCTTACAGTTGTGTTCGCAGTGAATCCAATATCCTGTGAAGGACTCCAACCACTGTTTCTGCAGGATCTCATTAACGAAGATCACTGTTGCATTTGATAGGATTTTCTTGATAGTGACTCCAACATCCTCATACGAAGTGAGACCCATTGAAATCTATGGTAGTTACGTGTTAACCAGCAATTGGTCTTTTTGTGCTTCAATGGTAACTCACGCGTATGGAGGTGCAAATAGAAAGCATGCACAGAGATTCTCCTGAATCATCTGAAAGGCTAGCTGTTTGAAACCATTTTTTGCAGTCTGAAAACCCTGGATATCCAAACAGTACATTGTCAACTTTTTGTCTTCGTCGACAAATTAAACTTTCTAGTTACAAAGGCGAGTACTGATTGGCGGCGGTATCGGTGAAGCTTCTGAATTTTATGGAAACTCTCCTCTCCGTCAAATATTTGTAACAACTTCTCGAATAATCCAGAAAACTGACATACATCTGCGACATCATTTATTATCAGAATTTTACCAAGAATTTTACTGGATATCCCCATCCCAAAAAGCGATTAGGTGTCAAAACAGCTTAGATGACTTTTCCAAGGAATGTTGTGTCGCGAAAAAACACATTGCATACAAGTCTCAACAGCATTTATAAGATACCCCCAGTGATGAACAATGACTCACCTCTTCAAAGGCGACATGACTCATCGGTGCTGACATCCTTCCTGAACCTTCCGCGATCATGGCGTCACCTCGTGGCGAAGTGGAACTTTGGTCCAGAATCCCCCCTGTCTAACTACACAATTGCCGTGTTTTTTTTCGTATCGGCGAGGAGGCAACAGGGAGGAAAGGTGAAAGTGATGATCATTTTCGGTCGTTGTGAAAATGTCACCTCACACAATGAGCCCTCGTCTAACCTTTTTTACGCCGCGATAAAGAGTGCGAGTTTGTCCAGTTCTGATCTACCGTATTCTCTAAAAATCAAAACGAATTTCAATAAAAACTGTCGTGTGGCAACCCTGGACTGGACTGGATCATCATCTTTGGTTTCCGGGACGGAACTTGAAAAAATGTTACTACAGGTTACGGCGAGGATGCTTTGCGATGAAGGAGAGCTTGGCGTATAATAAACACGTGGTAAAAAATTCTCTTGCTGAGAGGAGCACAAAAACGATGCACTCAGTCGGAGACGAATAAATAGGAAACCTTATTCTCTGCAACATTTTATTTCGAAAATTTTTTAGTAATTAACCCGTGTACTATATTGTTCATATTTCTTCTCTATCCCAGATCCTCCCCACTATAAGCCGTGAATTTAGGAGAGTAGTTTCCCATTATCGGTGTAGCGGACACTGGGTTACTAGGCAGGTCGAAATATCGGGTAAAAGGTGAACGCTTCAGATGAGTGGAGCGTAGCTAGTCACGACAGGTAGTGTCCGCAGGACAAAGGATCTTATAAATCTCACTTAGTGGTGGCCGATTGCGTGGGACTAAGTACTGAAGTACACAATGGTTATAATATGAGGAATTAGCACACAAAGGGAAAGATACCCTTAGGTTTCCCTTTAAATGAAATTTAAATTTATTACACATCACTTGAGATAAAGAATAGTAAAAGTCCAACATAAAAACCAGGGGTAGAGAGGGAAAACGTAAAGGAGAGAATAGTGTAAATGTTGTTGGTGTCTTTTTCTGACTTACGGTTGTTGAAATAAACGGCAACAGGGAAGGGGTGATGTCTTGGTGTTTCCTCTTCGCAGCGGATTCCGGAGAATTCCTAAAGTATGATAGATCCTCTAGCACTGATGGAGTCGAAAACTGCTCGAACACGCTTCTCTAGCGCTGGTGATGATGATGATATGACCCCGGCGTACACTCGTCGATCTGACGTAGTGAAGAAAATCGAGTTGTCCACTTGATGTCGTAGCGATTAAAGTGGGCGACGCTGCAGAGCTGCTTCCCAACAGACAGATCTTGAAGGGTCAGCTTTATTGATGAGCAGGGCCCCTCGTTAATAACCAGGAGTCGAAATTTTACTTTGGACTCGTTCGTCGTGATTAAAGCTGCGCACTCGATCTGGGGTTACGAGAAGAGTCGAGTTGTACGCTCGGACTGTGCCCAGAGTTACTCCCCTGACGACTAGGCCTACAGAGTTGAACTAGATGACGAGCAGGATACCACTTGAAGATTTCGAGTCGAGGATTTAATTTAGACTGCCTTTATTTGGCGAAAAACCGCCCTTTATATACTGTTCGGTCGTGATTCCCCTACAGCAGTTGGCATTTTGAGATTTCGTCATCCAACGTTTTTTGAGGTACGGTGGGAGGCATCTTCATATGATTAACAACGTATTCAAAAGGGATGTTTGTGGGCAATGTACCCTCACCCTGATGCTACCCCCCATTTCCCCAGGTGCGGGAGAAGTTTTTCAGAAAAAGACGGGACGATCGCGCATTGGCCGCTCTCTAATTAATGTTCTTCTAATGTCAAAAGTGGCATGTTTACGCATCTTTCTGACGTTCATGGCCCATAAATTTGACACCTCCATTGACGATGCATGAAAATTGTTCATTAGAAGCCTCGCGTGTCAACTAGAGTGAACCCTTTGAGGTTGGAGATGTCCCCTTGTTTGGACAACAAGAAATTATCTGGTGAATTGTGCCAGTTCCTGGAAGCCATCTAATAAATTTCGTTAGGTATGAGGTGCAGGTGGCCAACCCCCTGTAACCGTTGGGGGGAGGCAGTCGGCGCAGATGTACCCCCTATGGGCCTGCCTTTCCCTTTGTCGATATCGGCAAACCCGTGGCTGACGTGGTCCATCTCTAAGTTGCCAACATTTTTAATTCTTTGGGGCGCGGTTACCATTGGAGGGTTGTTTAAGTTATTGGCCCCCAAAATTCAATAGAGTGAAAAGGATCTCCTTAGCTGTGCCTTTCAGCACTTATGTGGCTTCTTTTTAGATGATTCGTGGTTTCCAGGTGTTGTCGCATTGATGGTTACTCCTTAACGCCTCTCAAGCCATAATGACGGCCACTTGAATACCTGCTAGGTGGTCTCTTTTATTGTGGTTACTTCGCATAATCGGCCTTGAGGCCGGTCATACCGACATTCCTCGCTATTGTATGGGATTTTCCAAAGCCTCTTTTTTGTGGTTACACGAAGTTTTCGAATATATATAAAAAATCTGAACCGTAGTAACTGCGGCGTCCGCAACATCGGGACTGTGCAAGAAAAATATTTATTACGGTAATTATTATCGACGTTACAAATTTATTCAGAATTTTCATATATTCCCGTATTTCTGAGCCCTGCTGTTTCTGGCACTGTCAAATTTTATTAGCATATGACTTGCTTCTCGATCTCATCTTTCTTGTCTCAGTATAAGAATTTTCTTTGTTTCCATAATCTCATCGAATGCAATGAATTATATTTTTGCAGTTGTCATCAATGATGAAGCCAACGATGTTGCCAATCGAAGTGTAGGCAACGCTCTGAAAATCATGAGAGACACTCATACTGACTGGCTAGGAGAAACAACCATCGTACAAATCAATGGATCTGACCCTAGAGACGCTTTAGATAAAATTTGCAATGCATGGGACATAGCAGTACGGGATGGTGGACCTGGAGTTCCGGACATAGTTCTAGATGTGACGAGAAGTGGTTTCGGAGCCGAAACTGTCAATTCATTCACAGCAGCAATGGGTGTGCCGACTCTTTCTGCACAATTCGGACAAGAAGGTGATTTAAGACATTGGAGAGAGTTGACCGATGATCAAAAGAATTATTTGATACAAGTGCTACCACCAGCCGATTTAGTACCTGAAGCTATACGCCAACTCGCAATAACTATGAATATGAGTAATGCCGCAATAATGTTTGATGAAAATTTTGTAATGGACCATAAATATAAGAGTCTTCTGCTCAATGTACCAACGAGGCACGTTATTGTAAGGACAAAAGAATCCGGAGGTATTGATGCACAGTTATCTCAGTTGAGAGATCTAGACATCGTAAACTTCTTCGTGCTGGCAAAAGAGGAAGTTGTAACAGCAATTTTAGATGTTGCTGAAGCAAAGAATTTTACAGGGCGAAAGTATGGATGGTTCGCTTTGAGCCTTGACGACTTCACACCGAAGTGTGAGTGCAAGAATCTTTCGATTCTTTTTCTCCAACCACAGCTTACCAGTTTCAATCAAGAACAACTAGGAGGATTGACTAGCAAAGGACTCCTTCAGCTACCGCTGATCACCGCTGCTTTTTATTACGATATTACTCGGCTAGCCATCCAAGCTATGAGAGAAGCTACTAAAAATAATCAGTGGCCGCCAGAACCTCGGCATATTACTTGTGATGAATTTAATCGTAATAATACTCCAACTAGAAATCTCGATTTTTTAGAAAAATTGAAAAATGTTGGCCAGATTGTCAAGTTCGAACCCACTTATGCTGGCTTCCACTGGGGAGATAAGAATGGTGAACATCAAGCCAATTTCACAATGAAAATGAGTCTCGTTGTTATTGATAACGGCAATGCGATCTCTACGAATGATCTTGGAACATGGCCGGCCGGAATTAACTCACATTTGAAGGTAAAATGCAAGAGGACCCTAGTGGTTCAAAAGTAAAATGCGCATTTTTAACCTAATGTATTTTTGTTTTCAATGAAGAGGTCCCATAAATTTTTTGCGCGATTATGATTTCATCTCGGTACTATATGACATTAATAGAGGAAATCTACAAATGCAAAACATCTATTTCTCATGAAAAACACTGTAATGATTTTTCCTCTATGGCCTCAGCAAATACTCAAAAACCCTAGCCCATTAAATCGATAACCGAAAACACGGCCAAAACCATTACCTTCGTTCTCGCAACTCTGACGACTCTGGAACGACAAAACCGAAAAATCTAAACGAAACTCCGGGGGTAATCAGCAGCTCTTTC